AAACACCTCCAGGGACAGAGAATCCACCCCCTCCCTGGGCAGCCCATTCCAAGGGCTGAGCACCCTCCCTGGAAAGAATTCCTTCCCAATATCCAACCCAAACCTGGCGAGGCCACCCCTGGAGTGCCGTGTCCAGCTCTGGGCTCTCAGCTCAGGAAGGATCCTCCCCGCTCAGAAAATAACCTGTTAAGGTAAAAACCCTGCGTTTAATGAACATTTAACAGTCTGTGTAACCAAAACAACTACAAAAGGCGCCGGGTTTCAAACCGTGGGTGCTTCCAGCCCCGGGAAAGGGGGAGGCACCGGCTCCTGCCTCCCCCCGGGGGGGCTCAACGCCCACCCCCCCGAGCCTGCGGGGCCGCCTTGGGCCATTTTTGGGGCTGGGTTTGCTCGTTCCGAGGAGGAGGAGGAGGGGAGGAAGGGACACAGCCCAGCCCGCCCCGCCGGGGTTCGCTGCCCCAGCCCAGGGGGACACGAGCCGCCCGTGCCCTCGTGGGTGTCCGTCTGTCAGCACCGACGGACCGTGCCCGCGTCCGTCTGTCAGCACCGACCTGCCCGTGCCCGTGTCCGTCTGTCAGCACCGACCTGCCCGATGCCTCCCCGAGCTCTCGCCCAACCCCGATTCCTCCCGACACATCAAAGGCGCTTTCCAAGCCTTCCCTCCGAGCTCCTGGGAGGGCCCGGAGCCAGGGGGGGAGCGCCGGGAGCCTTCCCGGAGCCAGGCAGGTCCATTCCCAGGCCCCAGGAATTCCCGGGTGTCCCTTCCCATCCCCCAGTAATCCCTGAGTGTCCTCCCAGCTCCTGATCCCTCCTCCTGGGGGTCCATTCCCGTCTCCCAGGAATTCTTGGGTGCCCTCCCAGGCCCCAGTCCTTCCTCCTGGGGGTCCCTTCCCAGCCCCCAGGAATTCCTGAGTGTCCATTCCCATCCCCAGGGAATTCCTGGGTGCCCATTCCCATCTCCCAGGAATTCTTGGGTGCCCTCCCAGGCCCCAGTCCTTCCTCCTGGGGGTCCCTTCCCATCCCCCCAGGAATTCCTGGGTGCCCTCCCAGCCGGCACCGCAGGAGCCGGGAACGTCCCCGGGGAGGGAGGAATCCCAAAGAGCCCCCCGGGAGAAGCCGCTTTGCGCGGCGCGTTCCCGGAGAAAGGTCTGGCTGCTTCCCTCCGGGAGCTTTCCCCTGTCATTCCCAGCCGGATTTGATGATATCTCCCGGTCGGCCGCAGGATTTTCCCTGTCATTATCCCCGCTCGGGAGCCTGGGAGGGGTTGGTGTTTTTTTGGGATGGCGGAGGAGTGGCAGCGAAGCGCGGCCGCCCCCGAGGGAGAGACGGGACGTGCGGGAAAGGTTTGGATCATGGGAACAGGGAGCGTTCCTTCCAGCTGCAGCCGCAGCCAGGGCCCAGGGAAGCGGTGGGTGATGACTCCCGCCTGGAATGCCGCCCAGGGTGTCTTGAAAGACCGGCTTGCAAAACTTTCACCAAAACACGCCAACGGCCCGGGTGTTTCTAGGATAACAGATCTGGGCTTTGGCTCCGCAATCGGCCCCGGGATCTGCGGATCCAGGGGAAAACCACGGCCAGGAATTCGGGCTGTAATGGATCCTCACTCCCTCGGGGCCCTCCGGCTCTGTTCGGCTCAGGATTTTGGGTACAAAGGGGGAGAAAAAGCTCGTTCATCCTCGGCTCTGGGCAAGAATCCCCTCGTGTTGCTCTGCAGAGAAATCCCCCCTGGATTTTGAGCAGCCCCAGCAGGAGGCAGAGGGGAATTCGACTCTTTGAGCTCGGGGAGGGGTTGAGGTGCTTTTCCCCACGTCCTGCCCGCGGAGCTTTGATCCCCGGGGGCTGGAGCTCCCCGGGGGCTGGAGCCGCAGGCGCGGGGCAGCCCCGGATAAGCCCAGCCCGGGAGAAAGCCAAGGCGGGCTCAGCTGAGCCCGGAGAGCAGAGCTGGCACCCGAACCCGCTCTAAAAAAACCCGATCGTGGCACAGGAGAACCAAGAATTCTTTGTTGAGCGTCACCCGAGAGGTTTCCCGCCCCGAGCCCTCCAACCCTCCTGCTCCCCCCGCGCTCCCGGCCAAGGATCTGCCGCGGGAGAGATCCGGGATGGAGGGAACGTGACGGGAGGCTGTAAACACGGCCCGTGTCCACGCACAGCTCGGGCTTTGTGCGGCATTCCCGGGAGGAGAATCATCGGCCCGGAGGAGCAACAGCTCCAGAGGCAGCAGGGAAAGGGATGACGGGGAGGAGACGCCGTTCCTGGGGTCAGGGAGTGAGAATTCCCTGCTCCAGCCGCATTCCCAGGGCTCTGGAAGGCTCTGGAAGGCTCTGGAAGTCGGCAGTCCCAGGCACGGGCAGCTGCAGTGAGGAGGGAAGGCGGGAGGGAGGTTCTGCCCCCCCGGCCCTCTCCATCCCATCCCGGCATCCTGAGGATGCTCCAGCTCTCCCAGAGCTCCCCGGACACACAAATCCCACCCCAGCCCCTGCCCTGCTCCCAGGACATTTCCTGGAGCTCTGCACGGCCTGGGAGCAGCTCCAGGGCTTGGATTTGCCTTCACGTTTCAAGGTCCTGGGTAAAGTTGAACTTCCTGGCACTGGGAAAGCTCCTCCAGCCCCAGGAAAGCTCCTCCATCCCTGGGAACTCTCCTCCAGCCCCACGAAAGCTCCTCTGGCTCTGGGAAAGCTCCTGCAACCCAACAAAAAGTGTTTTCCACCAGGAATCCTGCCCTCTCCGACCTGCAAGCACACGGAGGGAGGGAGGGAATCCAAGCTGCACCTCTGCTAATGAACCACCCAAAACCTGTCGAGAGGCAGTAAAAGGGAACAGCAGAGGAGGCAGCTCGGCCTCGTTATGCAACAGCCTCGTTATCTAACGACCACGGACACCCTATAGGGGCTCTTTGTTTGCAGAGGGCAAGGGAGAGAAATGCCACCAGCAGCTGAGTCACCGGTTCACCGAGAGGCTCCGAGGACGTTCTCAGGTGGAAACTTTTCCAGTTTCACCTGCTAATTTGGGAGGACCGGCCGATTGCCCGGCTCCGCCCCCCGCCCTGTAACCCGGCTCCTGCCGCCCTTGCATATATAGAAAGGTATGGCCCCGCTCCCGGCTGTGGAGACGGAGCCCGGAGCCGCAGCAACCCCGAGCCCGCCGCCCTCCCGCCATGAGGAAGGAGGTCCTCACCCTGGCCTTCGCCCGCGCCGTCTTCGTGGAGTTCCTCTCCACGCTCATCTTCGTCTTCATCGGGCTGGGCTCGGCGCTCAAGTGGCCCTCGGCGCTGCCCTCCATCCTGCAGATCGCGCTGGCCTTCGGCCTCGCCATCGGCTCCCTGGTGCAGGCCTTCGGCCACATCAGCGGGGCCCACATCAACCCGGCCGTCACCATCGCCTTCCTTGTGGGCAACCAGATCTCCTTCCCCCGCGCCCTCCTCTACGTGCTGGCCCAGCTGGCCGGGGCCATCGCCGGCGCCGGGATCCTCTACGGCGTCACCCCGGCCAACACCCGCGGCAACCTGGCCGTCAACGCCGTGAGTGCCCGCCCGTGCTCCTCGGCCTCCTCCTCCGCCCTCCCTCCTCCTCCTCCTCCTCCTCCTGAGCCCTCGGTGGCCCCGGGAGCGGCTCCGGGGGGTCGGTTTTCCCTTGGTGGGTCGAGGGCTCCGGGTGAGTTGATGGCACCGGGAGCTCCTCTGGATCTGGGAAAGCTCCTCCAGCTTTGGGAGCTCCTCCAGCCCCGGGGAAGCTCCTCCATTCCTGGGAAAGCTCTTCCAGCCATAGGAAAACTCCTCCAGATGTGGGAGCTCCTCCAGCCCTGGGAAAGCTCCTCCAGCCCTGGCAAAGCTCCTCCAGCTCTGGGAAAGCTTCTCCAGCTCTGAGGAAGCTCCTCCATCCCCAGGAAAGCTCGTCCAGCCCCAGGAAAGCTCCTCCAGCCTTGGGAGAGGAGCCCAATCCATGGGGAGCCGGGCTGGGGAAGCAGGGCAGTGCCATCCCAGCAGGGCAGTGCCATCCCAGCTCTGGGGAGCAGGGCAGTGCAATCCCAGCTTTATGGCCAGGTTTGGGGAGCAGGGCAGTGCTGTGACAGCTCTATGGCCGGGTTTGGGGAGCAGGGCAGTGCCATCCCAGCAGGGCAGTGCCATCCCAGCAGGGCAGTGCCATCCCAGCCGTGGGGAGCAGGGCAGTGCCGTGACAGCTTTATGGAGCAGGATGGGGGAGCAGGGCAGTGCCATCCCAGGTCTATGGCTGAGTTTGGGGAGCAGGGCAGTGCCATCCCAGCCGTGGAGAGCAGGGCAGTGCCATCCCAGCCGTGGGGAGCAGGGCAGTGCCATCCCAGCCGTGGGGAGCAGGGCAGTGCCATCCCAGCCGTGGAGAGCAGGGCAGTGCCGTGACAGCTTTATGGAGCGGGCGATGAGTGGATGTTTCTGCGCCTCCTTTAACAAGCGCTTCCTCGGCCCCGAGGGCCCGCGTGAGTCACCGCCCGCATTGAGACGTTCGGGAGCGCAGCCTCCCCTTCCCGGGGATTAGCGCCGGGATCGGAGCCGTGCCAGGGCGGGGGGGGAGGGAGGGAGCAGAGCCCAGTCCGACCAGTATGGGCAGGGGGAGTCCAGTCCCACCGGGGGAGCTGGGAACCGAGCAGAAGGAGGGAACTGGGGGAGAAGGATGAGCGGGAGGGTGCCGAGAGGGGAGGAGGGGAGGCAGCAGGACCCCCTGGCAGGAGCAGGGCTGAGGAACAGCTCTCCAGCCGCCCCGGGGCAGCGCTGGGAAAACACCCGGAACGGGAGCGGGGGAGCTGCCGCTCCAACCCCGGCCGGGTCCGGAGCCCTGGGAGCGGCACGGGCACGGGGCCGAGGGAGGAGGCACCTCCTGGCATCGTGTGCCACGTGTGCCACCCCCTGGCATCGTGTGCCACCCCCTGGCATCGTGTGCCACCCCCTGGCATCGTGTGCCACGTGTGCCACGTGCTCCATGTCCCGAACCGGCCAGATGGGGCTGAAAACCCAGCAGGGATGGGTTTGGTCCCTTTGTCCTTCCCGTGACGGTCCCAGGGGTTTGTGCAGAGGCACCGGGGCAAAAACAGCCCCTGAGACCCCCGTGACCTTCATCCCGGGCCTCATCCTCCATCCCAACCCTTGTTCTCCATCCCAACTCTCTCCCTCCATCCCAACCCTTGTTCTCCATCCCAACTCTCTCCCTCCATCCCAACTCTCTCCCTCCATCCCAACTCTCTCTCTCCATCCCAACTCTCTCCCTCCATCCCAACT